ACGAAACCTTTGTTAAGTCAGTAATGCGATTTGCCGATGTAAGTTGAAGATGTAATCATTTTTTTTTTAATTTTTCTAAATTTTTATTTGACATTGCCAACATCAGGTTAAAACAATAAGTGAGCTAAGACACATCTTAGAAAAAACATCTTACCGAAATAAGGATGAGCCTTATGACTGAGAGAAACACTATGATACTGAATGGGTGGATATAGCAATGAGGAAGTAGTAAGTATGTTTCTTATTTGTTGCGAGAGCTTTAATAACAAATACATCTCAAAAATCTTGAAAAAGCCTTACAGATTACAAAGATCCCAATAGAACACTACATAAGTCACATTGGCACGACATTAATGTGTGGTCTTTAATAATCGATCATAGACTCTAAACTTAATTGGAATAGAGACTGTCAGGTGAATTCTTACTACGATTATTTTCATATATTTTGAATTTCTACTTACTTTATTTCATAGAAAGGAGTCTTCAAGTGAGGCAGTATCCGTAAGAAATTATCAAAAGAGGGTACGAACTCGTCGCAAGAATACAAAATGTAAGATAATAGGATCTCGTATGGATGGAATATTCAAAACATACATTAATGATATTGAATATAGAGTGATTGAAGTAGCTAAGGCATTTAACGAGATCAAATTATTGATTGATGGATATACAGTCACCACTGGATATAACGAACCCTCCGTTCTGTGAAGTTTGGTTCGGTATAGAATGAGTTCATTATATGATGCTCACTCTATATACCAAAATGTTCAGTATATAAAGTCTACCAATAAAATTAAAGACATGTGATCATATTAGTAATATCAGTATTAACATTTACATGTATACTTTGCATATAAAAGATTAAATTTTACTTCTTTAAGCATTAATTTTGTATAATATCAACTTAAAAATCTTCTATTAATGTCCATATTTTTGCGTAAATTTATCTACACCTAGTAAAAAACTTAAAAAATCACATCATTTAAAATTTACCGCATTGTATATTATTATACTTTATTAACAAAATTATATCAAATACAAATTATTGCCCCAATAAATATTTGGTGTGTAAGTTCAATATTATATTAGGAAGATTTGGTGAAAGAATATCCCCTTTCTTGACATGATATCGGAGCACTTTAAACAAAATTTTT